AGGCTTCTCCCTAAACCCTAAACCCCATAAACCCTAAACCCTATAAACCGTAAACCCTAAACCCTATAAACCCTATAAACCCTAAACCCTGAAAACCCTAAAAACCCTATAAGCCCTAAACCGCTTCGGTTTCGAGTGCTCTCGAATTGCTTTCAGAACTTGCGGGGTCTCAAGATGCGCCTTGGGGCTTTGGTGAACTCGATTCAGGCTCCGCGGGCAGATGGCAAAGTGAAGCCACGAAAATCCCTCCGTTCAGGGTTTAGGGTTCAGGGTTTGGGGTTTCAGGTTCAGGGTTCGGGGTTTAGGGCAACGAGCCGATGCAAATTTCAAGCAGACTCTCTAAGCCTCAATCTTCAAGCGCAGTTGATCTGAGAAGACCTTCTGAACTAGTTGTTAGGTCCCGGCAGTCCCGATACCTAAACTCTACACACCCTCTGAAGTGACAGCAAACCTTAAACAGCCATGGAGCAACACAAGACGTAGATAATCTTATGCACGAAACCTTCTGGCTCCCATCCTACCACCAGAGCTTCGTTCTTTTGGACTTTATTGATACTTCAACGAGAGAGCTGTACCGGCTGTGCTGAGGTAGAGGCTGTGGCCCAATTTCTGACCCACTAAACCCTAAACCCTGGAACCCTGCGAGGGCTCTCCAATTGTAGGGGTGATGCATTCAAAAGCCGTTTTGCTAGGGATCCTACTATTATTAAGGGCTTGAAATTTCCGGCTCCCCGTTTTCTGAAGCCTCGATCGAGGCCGGCTTCTTGCCACCGAAGAGTCGAGACCTCTCTGGCTTAGGGACCTAAGGGTTTAGGGTTTCGGGCTTAGGGTTTAGGATATAGGGTATAGGGCTTAGGGTTTAGGGTATAGGGCTTAGGGTTTAGGGTTTAGGGCTTAGGGTTTAGGGTTGCTTCTTGTGCGTGTGGCTTACAAGGCTCTGGAAGGGTAGGGCTTAGGGACCTCTTAATGCTTCTTGTGCTTATGGCTTACAGGGCTCTAGAAGGGTATGCCAATCCTCTAGCAGTACTATACCTAGGTAGTATTATGAGGGGTACCCCTTAAAGGGTACCCCTTCTGAACCCTACTTTTGGCTCTCTTTTTGGGGACCTTCTTGAGAGGGTCTATATCCCCAAGGGTCCCCCTAATCCTAGCTCCCAATACCACGGTGTTGTGGTGCTTATAGCACGGACGGAAAAGCTCAGCCCGAAGGGTCCTCATGCTTCCTCTACGGGAAACCCGATCGAGCATCCGGCCTGTCTTTAACGGTACTACGGTTTTGGAATTCTGGGTTTAAGGGTTTAGGGTAGGGTTTCCTCCGCTATCAAGCCATCTGACATCTGAAACCCGCATCATCACATCTTGCAATGCCCTCCAAAAGCCCTAACCCCAACTAAACCCTAAGCCCCGAACTGTGACATAACCCCTAAACTCTAAACCGGAGCAGAAAGCCGAAAACCCTCAACCGCAAGAGGCCCCGGGCATGATCCCCTTCTTCTTCTCGGCACCAGCAGGAATAGCCTCCGAAAGAAACTGGAAATCTGGTTTGAGGTTTAGGGTTTAGGGTTTAGTATCAAAGAAAACGCGTCGGGTTTACAGCCTTCCTTGGTACGTGATTCGTGCTGCGACTGTCGATCTCGTCCTTCCGATGCACATGACTTACTAGCCTGGCCTTTGGAACATGATGTCTTCATTTGGGAGCTTCAACTCGATATCCAATATATATAGAGTCCGACTGAATAGACTAGTAGTGCAGTTTCAGAACTCAGAGGCCTCAATATGAACCCGACGACATGGAAGAACGCGTCTTCTCAAGGCTACGATTTTTAGAGTTCGGTTTGGGATTTCTGCCTTGGGTCGCGCCGGCTTAAAGAAGCAGAACCCACTCACATCCAGGGGAACTGCCACGTAGGCCTCAACTACCTACACAGTCATTCAGACCTCGGACTTAAAGAAGCAACATCATCTAGAACAGAAGCCATAAGATCTATCTATTAGGTGCCTTGATCATGCAAGGAAGACTTCTGGCACGGCAGGGCTTGCTGACATTGCACGAATAGTCTACGGAGCTGTTTGACACAGCAAGCGAAGTGCCGAGATACCGCGGTTGCAGACGCCAGGAGAAGTGGAATCTGCAAGGAACCATCTTACCGGTGGCTTTTCCGTGTCCCCAAGACTTCAAGAATGACTCAGTCCCCATTTACCGGTATGATATCTAAGAGTATATACTGCAAGCGGACAACATCCAAAACATTCCCTTTGCCCCCTCCCGGCCAACAAGCAGACAGGTCGACCCTGAACTACACACCTGAAGACCAACATGAAGATCAGGCTGCAACCCAAAAAGCAAAACCCCAAACCCTAAACCCCTAAACCCGAACCCGTAAACCCGTAAACCCGTAAACCCCTAAACCCCATACCCTAAACCCCCAAAACCCCAAACCTAAAACCCCAAACCCTAAACCCCAAACCCTAAACCCCTAAACCCTAAACCCCCCAAACCCTAAACCCTAAACCGCGCAACATGTTCCAGGTAGGGCCCTGGGCCCCCCACGGATGGGCCAGATCGACCTGGTACGGCTTTCAAACTACGAAGGTATGATACGTCTGAGGGTTTCAGGGTTTGGGGGTTCAGGGCTTAGGTGTTTAAGGGTTTAGGGGTTTAGGGTTTAGGGGTTTCGGGGTTTGAGGTTTGAGGTTTGGGGTCTAAGGTTTAGGGTTTAGGGTTGAAGTTGGTGTTTAAGGGTTTAGGTGTTTAAGGGTTTAGGGGTTTAGGGGTTTGGGGTTAGGGGTTTGGGGTTTAGGGGTTTAGGGTTTCGGGTTTAAGTTTTCAAACTCGAAACTACCGAAACCGCTGGACACTTTCCACAAACAGGAGCAACCTGCAAAACTGCAAACCCCCCGAAACCATGATCCAGGCCGCAATCCTGCGCCCGAACTTTTGCCCCCAGAACGCACGGAAGCGAATTTCTGGATTTCGGGCCCTGAGCCCGAAGACCCCGAGAGCAGGGGGAGAGGACGTAAGGTTTAGGGTTTAGGGCTTAGGGTTTAAGGATTAGGGTTGAGGTTTAAGGATTAGGATTTAGGACTAAGGGTTCTAAGTTATGAGGTCTCCGGGTCAGGAGCGACTGCAGTCTCTGTGCTGTCGCATGCTGCAGAGTTCTTGCACTCGAGTGGTGGCAGTGAGATCGATGCTTTCTGCGAACCCTAAAGCCGAAACCTTAAACCCTAATCCCCTATAAACCCTAAACCCCAAACCCTAAACCCGAAACCTTAAACCCTAATCCCCTATAAACCCTAAACCCTATGTCTCAAGCTTTGTGTCTGCAGGGCCGAGGCCGATCTTCCCAAACCCTACAAATGTTGAACACGAAATGTAGATGAATGTAGGGGCCTTAATGATTAGAATAGGTTTTGAAGGGTAATTGTAGTATACTAAAACTATAATAAGGGGCCTTAATAATTAGACTAGGTTTTGAAGGGTAGTTATAGTATACTAAAACTATAATAAGGGGCCTTAATAATTAGAATAGGTTTTGAAGGGCAATTGTAGTATACTAAAACTGTAATAAGGAGCCCCTAAAACCCTATCAAAATTATTAAGGCCCCTACATTGATGCGCCTTACAACCTTACAAACATTGGAACTGATGCTTCGATTTGTCAGAGAGCAGTTTGCAGCTCTGTGTGATACACTCAGTGATGCCATTGCTGGGCAGCTGCGTCTGTCTAAAACCCCTGAAGCCTATAGCAGAGCTCTTATATGTCCCTAAAACCTCAATTTCGATTCCGGTTCTCGTGATGTCTGATCGGTTCCGTGGGTTGCTGCGCATGCCCCTACTGGGCTCCCAGCACAGAACGTTTCTGTGGCTTAGCCAACCATCTCATGAGCTGGCCGGCGAGAGTAATCTAGGGGCCTTAATAATTAGAATAGGGTTTTGGGGGGTATATTATAATACTATTCTTATAATAATAAGGAACCCCCAAAATAGTATAGGCAACTATTTCAGGCCCCGATAATCGTAGACTCTGTGGGACAAGCACTGCGATCAAGTCAAGCCCGTAAGATCTGCCCGGACCAGCTCGCTACCAACCCACATCTTAGACTTTTGCAAACCCTAAACCCGAAACCCCTAAACCCCTTATAAACCCTAAACCTTTTAGAAGTAGCCACTCTGGGGGAGACACCGCAAGACTCCACCCTCAACCACCAGTTCTCCGTCCTTTTGTGCTGAACCCTTGCGTTCCGAGAGTCTAACCGCTAGCCCAGGGTTTAGGGTTTAGGGCTCACGCTTGAGAGTTTCAGGATCTATGTAGGGCTTCAGGTTTCTGAGGGTGTTCAAGGTACTGGAAGTTATTCCAAGACCGGTATGGAATCAAGAGTCACTCATGATGGCATTGAATTCTGAACAGCTTGGCGCAGCGCCGGATGTATCTGCCCAGGCAGAAGAAGTCTCCTGCCAAGGGAGAAAACTTTCACAAGCGGCTGTGATCGATAATCCGCAGGAACTGTGCCCAGGCACTCTGACCCCAAATGTGAAACCTTAAACCAACCAGAAGGCCTTCACAAGTCCGCAGAAAGGCCCCAGGCATTAAGTCGGAGTGTCTGCGAAAACTCCCGAATAGCCCATGCACTGCAGGCAAGGTAGAAGCCAGAAAGCTGCGGCTATCCTCATGCCCTTCAAAATAAAAGGATAAGGAATCCTAGCGCTATTCACTCTAAATCCACTTTCTGGGGTTCATTATACTTTAAAAGGAAACTCAAGGCCCCGGTCTCTAGACTGACCATGTGCCATAAAGTCAATACACGATGTCATGTAGTGTAGGGTTTAGGTTTTAGGCAAGTCTAGGGGTATAGGGTCTAGGGTTGATGGCTATAGATAGTTATAGTATGGGCAAGTCTGTTCTGTATATAGGTACATGAATTCATGAACCGCCGGGGATTAAGATCAGCGGCACAGAAATCTAGAGTCTGATCCTAGCTGCGCGACACTCGCTGTCCAAGGATCCACCCGTACAACAGCACCAAACTCAAAGATCCGACAGCGAAGCTGCGTGTTTTGGCACGAAATGTGTTGAGCTCAGCGTGTATGGTGCCTGGCACGAGATTTAGAATACCC